GCTGACATTTGGGTTTGAATTACTCTCCACTTTTAGCATACGCTATATCAAGAATCGGTTGCCACCTGTTCATGTCGTTTAGAACCGTCGTAGTATTTAGATTGGGGAGAATGGAAGCTTGTACGAGTTGTTTTAGAACGCGAAGAGCTGTGGAGCTAGATACTTCGGTTTTCTAACCAAAGCGGACAATTGAAGTATGAATTCTTTTTGTTTCTGTTGGTCATCATTCGAAACAAACTAAACTCAATGCGGTAGTGTTTTTTACACGTTAAGTGTGCGAGATGCATGCGAAATATCGAAACACAATCACTCAACCTATTGAGACTCAATTTTTTGGATCTTGGATCGGATGCAGAATCGCCTAACACAGAGTGAAGCGTCAGGATGAGGTCGGATCTAGAGATCGCAAGGTGATGATTGAAGTAGGGACTTTTATACATGTTTCGGAAATACAACATGCGTACAAATTGAATGTCTCAAGGGTTCTGGCTAAATCGGCTTGTGGACCTATCTAAAAGAGTGTGTAGATATCGAGGAAGGCTAAGCGAAACGGAGATTTTGGTTTCAACAGTCGGATAGCTTCTGGTTGATTGACTTTACTAGTTTAACGCTGAGTGATATCCCATTAATGGTGCAAACAGGAGGCATCTCGTTCCATTTGGGAGTGATACGAAGAATTAGACCGAATGGGTACCTAAGACTTTTGTTCACGACGTACTTCGCGGTAGCCCACGTCGACTAAGGGTTGTTTTCTCTGGGAACTCTAACTGTAGCCGTTGACTCAAAAGTGTGACCCAGAAGGCACTGGGGCGTAGATTCAACGCGGGATTGTGACCGAAGCATCCGTGTTTTAGGTTCTAGAGACCCATCGTGCAAGGCCTTTCGGTTTTGGTTCATTGTATTGTTCTCTGGTGCGTCGGTTAACAGTTCGCTTTTCGGGATTGGCCCTTACCCTCATGCACCCAATGAAATGGGTAGTACCTGGGCTGGACGGCACCACATTGGTTCGGGGCTGTCGGTGGCTAATCAGTGAGTGCGAAGACTTCCCATAGTCAAGCGGAAGCCCCAGGTACCCCACCCCTATGTCCATCTAGCAGATGTTTTGACCGGTAAACTGCAGCTCTCCGTATTTACTTGCTGGACTGGCCTTTCCAGGGGAGAGAGTGAATCATCAAAGAAGCCAGGATGTGCTCAGGTAACTGGTTTTGTGAGTTTTAAATGTTGTAGTTCAATCTTCGTTCCATAACGATTTCACTGTTACCGCGATTTGCTTTTGAACAGTCTTCGTGATATCTTTCTGTTTCTTTGTTTCAACCTGCATTCCTAATGATTTCTGAGATTTTATACGGGTTATGAATAAAGTAGTTTTCGTTGAACATTTACCGTGTATAGGCAGTCGAGATAGTGATTTCCTCGATCACAAGATACCGCTACTTTATCACGCAATTGGTATCTCAGATCGTGGGAGTGTTGGGCCCAAAATAATCTCGATAGAATAAACATGATATTGAGCTTGTCCGGAAATAGCTGTGGGGTTAAAGCACTTACGTCAAGTCCTATGGCTCCTTGCGCGTGCGAGTTGGAATCACTTAAACGATCTCATTCGACGCCATCGAGTGATTTCCGAAATTTTTCCTAGTTGAGTCATCATTAACTCATCGTTTGTTGTCCAACCAATCACCATTGCTTTTTACCAGGCTGTTACAAACCAGTGTCGTCGATATGGAGAATATGTTCGAACTATTGGAGGTGCATTCTGAAATGAAAGATGATCCAGACGCGCCGGATCTAGTCGTCAAGGGGGGTGAGATCGAGTTCAAAGATATTAGTTTTCACTACGCACCTGAGTAAGTCACTAAATACGTTCCCTTGGAGTGTTGTGAATGTTTAATCACTCGAACGAGGGTAACATGACTTCTCGAGTAAAATTCGCTCATCCCTTTTAGTTATTGCATCCAAACTTTGGTTTCACTTATCTGTTATTTCTTATGGTCTAAGTGCTTCTACTTGACCTTGTTCTACTCTGTTGTTGTCGTTATTTCAAGTAATATCGTTCTCTCAGTCAATTTACTTTATTTCAGATATTTTTCAGTATCTCCCAACCTTTTTGATGCAATCGCGACCCAAAGAGGCGTCAAATATAATAATGATTATATTCCTTAATCACACGAGATCCATGGATGGAACGGATCTCATTGAAGAATTTGGGCGTCGTGCTCATGATTATTGAGGAAAAGTTAGCTTGTCTTAACCACGACGAGTGAAAACCAACGCCTTGTGTTTTGGTTTTCACTCGTCGTGGCTAAGACAAGCTAACTTTTCCCCATGATTATATTCCCTTTGAAAAGAGGATGCTGTATAGCAACATTGCATGATTTTTGTCCTGGACGATTTCGCTACATCTCAACTGGTGCCTACTGCAGAGAAATACAGTGTTTATATGGGGTTTGGGAATGTATTACAAAATAAACAATTGAAAATGGGGAAAGCGTCACCAAGGCAAAGACAACACGTCCTTTTTTGACAGAATGGGTTGCCATCGTTTTTTTGCAATCGTTTCGACGATCTTGAGCTCTCTGGTGTTATCATTAGTAAAAAGTCGCTGGAAATGTTCTCTCACCATCAAAGTGATGTTGCTTCATCCACAAGAGCTTGGTGTTATCAGCTGTGTGGACTTTGACATGGCAACCTTGCGCTGAACCCACTTCTGTATGTCCCATTTCGCTTGTTCGCCGAGCTTGGCAATTTGTTTGCAAACAAATTGAATAGAATATGAACCAGTCCATGTTTTTATGCGATGGGCACAAAACTTCCAAAGTACGTGTACTGACCTGTCCAAGTTGCTTTACTATAGACCGATTGTGACATTATTCCATCTGGCTTTCGAATGATGTTTATGTCAAGGAAACCCAGGCTATTGTTCTGTCCAGTTTCCATGCTGGATCGTATGTTCGGATGTAGTCGATTGGGGAACGGATGTGCTGTTAATGACCCCAGAACTGCTGATACAAATTTTGTTTTTCGGTATTGAATGATGAATTAAAAATTATATGATATATATATATATATATATGGTTTGTTTTACATTGTCCGTGATAGTGAGAGTATCATCAACATATCTTCTGCATAACGTAACTCGTTTCAGTAAATTGAGCTTGGAACTCCAAATGTGCCATGAATAAATCCGCTAGTGCTGGTCCTAAAAGGCTTCCCATGAGCACTCCGTCCACTCCTAAATCCTACATAAACATTGTATTTGTCTGTAGTAGGCACCAGTTGAGGTGCAGCGAAATTATCCGGGACATAAATCGTGCAATGTTGCTATGTGCTCTTTGTTTGTTTCTTGGACATCATTTGGTCCACTTTCTGCATTTAACAAATCCGGTGTCCAGAAACTACATTCGTAAAAATTGGCAGTATGTTTGATGTAAGTATACTCCTGTGCATTCAGTTTACCTTCTAGTTCCACCATTCATCGCGTCGTATTTTTGTGTATTTGGTCCCGTGATGATGGCTGAAATCCTTAGTGAACCTCTGGCGAACTGGCTCTTAGTATTGTGGTGTTGCCCACTTGGTCTCGCCAACACTCGTCCTCCGGCCATTCTTCCCGGCGTGTGTTGCAAGAAGATGTGTGCTGTGAAGGTTACTGTTAAAAAAACTTATAGCGGTAATCAGAGTTGTGACTACGACTGCAGTCGATGAAAATTAACTTCATGGAAAGTGAGAAACTTGTTTTTCGTATTCAGTGTGCTTTGCACAAAAAATCATTGACGTTTCAGCTGCTGTAAGTCATTGGGTCTGGTTTGACTATCATATATCTGATTAATAAACGTGATATTTGTTGTATTTTATGTAACTCATCTCTGTTTCTGTCTTATTACAGAAATAACTTGAAACAATACTCAAACTGTCAGACTGTATAACATATTCAGTTTGTTGTCTGAATGATTTTGTAAAAATCAAAATAGGACCTCACGGAGTCCCGGAGATATGATAATCTTGGAGTCAACTTTTGAAACAGAAAATTCTAAGTCATCAAACCATTTTATTCTTTTTTATAGTCGTTCAATACTGAAGCACGTTTCATTCAAGATCCCAGCTGGAAAAACTGTTGCCCTGGTGAGTTGTACTCCTGACTATTATCATTAACTTATGCCTCGTCTTGCACTGCCAGTCTCATGATATATGTTCCGTCTATGTGATTTCTCATAAACTGTCTGTCGTGCACATATCGTCAGATACTCTTTACGGTTCTATTTTCTCTGAAATTCCTTGTTATAACTCATCAAAAAACATGGGTGTTTTGACTGTTTTCGGACTTTGAATTGTTCCTGTTTTTGTCTTGGGTTTGTTCTGTTCCGTCGTGAGTTATAAGGGAGCTTGTAATGCAACCTAGTAAATCAATGCGAAACTCCGGCTTGACTGGTGACACTTCAAAGCTTATGATAATCTCTGTTCGTTTGTGTATGTGAACCTTGTGATACCTCTTCAGCACCGAGTGATCGCCTTATTCATACGCCATTGCATCCACAGCTTATCACGTTCGTCATCGGTGGACATTGATCTTCCCTGTTGCGCTCTTTTTTACCCTCTTCGCTCAATTCTTATTTCCAAGATTCGCAAACATGCCAACTAGATTGTAACACTTATGTAAGGTAAGGTGCGTGTACCCGGGATAAGTAAAAACATCGAGGAACGGATGTGCTGTTAATGACCCCAGAGCTGCCGATAAGAATTTTGTTTGTCGATAATAAATGATAAATTAAAAGTTATATCTATACATTTTAAATTCAACTTGAAATTCGAATTTGAATTTAAAATGTATGGACAGTTTATTTGTATATACACAGTATTATAATAATTTATGCAAGCAACAAAACCTACATTTAAATCAAAAATGTCGTTACAGTGGAATGAAAACTGAAAAAGCCGATAAGTGTTGATGCGTGAGGACAAGAAGCGATAACTGGATCGGGTTGTAGCATGGAAGTGACAGACAGATGGGTCGGGGTTGAACGGTTGACTGGGGTGGTCAAGACTCTTATGGAGAAAAAAGGAAAATCACACAGTTTTGTTCTTAGTGTTAATGGGAATAATGGGAACATGGCTAATCATTGCCAAACCGTGGCAAAGAATAATAAGAAAATAACGGGTATCACAAGAGAAATGCTTCCCCATAGATTATCGTAGCTTGTCTACATGGAAGGATAAGAAATGCAATCGACCAACAGGCTACTACATGAGAGAACCGTGGATTGCTCTCTGTGGTAACTCCAAGTTATTTGATGTTATGTGTTCTGCTAATGGGTACGAAAGTGATGATTAAGAGTTCCAAGGGATACTCAAAACGGGAAAGATTAAAGACGCATCTGAAACATTTAGAAGCGTTCAGCAGGAGACCGGATTGGTTAGAGAATAGTTGCACTTGTGCTAAGCTGTCAGAAAATATCAGATTGCTTTGAGATTGCTTGACATTAGACCACATCCCCAGTAAGTTTGAAGGTCTTGATTGCCGGAGTATACGGTAATGCACTGATGAATTTTTAAAATAAGCATACAGAGAGCACAAAACCCTGAAGGACTCCAACGGTTTTGAAATAGTTCCGTTTGCTTTTGTTATTTGAATCGTTTCTGTGAAATCGTGTTTCAACCACGACAATAAACTGGCGGAGCGACCGAGTGACTGTAACTTTCGGAGAAAAAGGGACCTTTGAATTGGAGTAAAAGCGGAGAAGTAATTAAGGATGACAAAACGAACGGATTTTGGAGAATCAGCTAAAAATTTGCCAATAAACTGCATCAATGAAGATACAGCGTCCGAAGTACATCTATCTGGCTTATGCACAGACTGGAGATGGTCATTTGAAACAACGCCAGACGGCAAACGAGTGAGAATAGTGTGCTCTGCTTGTCTCAGTTCCGAAGAAGTGGTGACAATGAGGCAAATGCCTTTGGGAAGCATTCTTTTTGGCCCCAGTTCTGCGGCACAGCACTTGACCATGACGGGAACAGAATAAAAAGCATTGCCAGTGTTCGAACACCGCTGTCTACGCCGCATTGCACGAGTATGGTGGGAAAACTGAACGAGCATTACTGAGTTTAGACATAGAGTTTCAGGTAATCGCGCTCGTGCACTGGAACAAGTGGTCGACCTCCACATATTACGCTGGTTGGGACATTTGTTACGCGTATCACCAACTAGGCTGCCACGGCGAGCGATGTTTGCCGAGGCAGGAAGTGGGTACGGAAAGGTCAAAGACAGTCAAACTAGGACATGGTATGAGGGTATGAAAACCCCTTCGTTCGAGCATCTGAAATTCTCCATTACTCGTGGACTCTAATTTCTTCTTTCCAGTCTTTTCCTACTCATTCATCTAAATGGGTAACCAAAAGACAGCAAAAATAACTGGCGCACAAAAGTGCATGGTTACTGGTTTGTACCACTGAAACTGATAACTAGATGAGGACGATTTAGGAGTGGGAAAAGGTCTCCACGAATCAGATATTGAACATGTGTATATGGATTTATTAATAAGGGACACAAAACTCTATGGGTGATCAAGCTTCTTGTTTGAGCATGAACGAAAGTAGACCATATGGGCTTAGTTCATTCATGATTTTCGTGGTTTTAGGAAGCTTATGAACTTCTTCATGGGCTATAGTTCTTAGATAAATGGGCAATCTGTGGGATATAGCGACAATAGATCGTTTAGAGGATAAATGAATGCAGCATTAAGACTGTTCACGTCAATCGTGTTGTTTGTTGACCGTTTCTCCTGTCCGCACAGCAGTCAAATCCCTTGCCAAATTGTTTCCATGGGACAGCACAAATTGGTTGTTTCAGTAAACTGTTCAACAGAATAGAGAGATTGTTGAAAGCTAAACTATAAGGTAATAATCGCAAGAGGTTTCTTCAGGAAAGACTCCGAATTTTTTACGTTCGTTTGTTTGTCTGAATGAAAACGGGGTGTACCAATCGTGAGCGAACTTTTGACCTAAGTCGTAGGTGATAGGGGTCACTAGTGGATATCGATTCCTTCATTTTAGGAGAGAAAATGTTAGGGTGGTTAGTAACGATCTCGTCCAATAGAGCATCTCCTCTGGTGGGCATTAGAAAGAGGTCGGTCGGGCCAAAAGAGGGCAATGGTTGAGTTGATCCATGAGTAAACTAGCCAACAGTTGAAATACATTATCATCAATAAAAGTATCGAATGTAGCATAAAAGGAGTTGCTGTTGATCTATGAACAATAAGCGGTAAAGTAGAGATTCGTAAGTATTGTGCTTCGCAAAAGTTGAAACCCTTGGTGAAGCAGTCAATACCATTAGAAAAAGGAAAATGGTTTCGGATTTGCCGCTACAAGTGGAGTTAATGTAGTTCAGTAACCCGCCTCCGGTCTTATTCCTTAACTTCCATTAGTAATAATGATTTCCTGGCATATGAGCGGCTCGAGAACATGATAGAAACTCAGAAATAAATTCCAATTCGAGAGTAAACACAAACGAAGCGCAACCAATTATGTATACACAACGGATCGAACAGGTTTGGGGGACGCAACAAAAGCCGACAGTAGTTCCACGTATTCTCATATTACTGGCCTTATGTATCGTCTATGTGTTTGTAGGGGTTGGTAAGAGTGCTTGGTAGATTTTTTGTTATATTTTTTCTAGTTGTACATAATCTCTCTCATAGACTTCCCACATTGTCACAGAGACCACAATACAGTTTGCTCTGTTAAAGAATGAAGCTATGAAGCTGTACACACTGTAGGTGACTGAGGCACAAGAACAAAAGGACATAACTGATTCCTGTGAGGTAGTCATCACACCCACAAGAGACACCAGTGGGGACTCAGGTAGAGCGGAACGCGATTCAGAGACTGGAATCCGTGATCTGTTATCGCACAACGGCGATCAGGAGTTTGGAGTACAATAAACATCATGGATTCAAAAGCTCGTCTTCCGACTGGTTAGATGAATGACAAGAAAACACTGTAAGCGTTTATTCATGGAACAAAATCACAGGGAAAAATGAGGCATGATATTTCGAAATGAGCCGGAAACATTGTTTCTAAAGTCTTGAGAGAGAGAGAGAGTACGACCCTGTAAGTTGATGCCACCTTAAGGAAACCACCCGATCAGTGTAGAACAGGTAGGGTTAATTGAGATATAAATTAAATTTGCAACAAATATGTGATAAAAAAGGCAAAAATTAGAAAGCCTTAAAGAAAGATAATTATAGCTAAAAAGTTGAGGTATTCAACAGTCTCTTCAACACTTATAGCGTTTACTCTACTGCTCCCGATTCTGAGGCATATCCCTCGAGATTGCTAACCAACTTTGTTCGTGATCTCTTGGCATTCAAGCAGACGGTTTATGCCTACTGACCTAAGCCCATCCTACCGTTGACTTCTTCATATCCTGGCTCCACCTCATACGCAGGAATTGCACGCAAAGCTCGGTCTGGAAAGTATGCGTATTAAGTATCCCAGTCTTCAGTGAGAAAGCAATCCAATTAGGAGGGAACGGCTTGTACCCGCTCACGTCGTTATCCTAATCATGTTGCCGCCAAACGCGAACAATGCTTTGGTGACAACAGTTGTCGATTGCTGGAAGTTGTCAAGCCTCCTGAAGCTCGATCTGCCTCGTTTGGAAACCGTAAAGTAGAAATTGCGTTACGATATATCTATCCCTTTAGAGATTTGTATATATTGAGACAGTGCCAAAGATGTCGTATGTCGGAAAACAGATGCCAAGCTTTTCCTGTGATCGATCTGATTTTGCCTTTAATAAAAAAAATAAGCAGAGCGATGCTGTTCGCAACGCATTGGTTTCGTGTCACGTGTATCTACCAAGTCATCCTAGTTTGAATTCCCTTTGCGCAGTATCCTCCATGGTCCCATACTAGCCCTTAAAAAAGGACGTCGTTGGCATAATCGCAGAACAACTTGCTGTCCACTGTTATCTGTTCTGTGGTGTATAGTAACTCGGAAATGCTACTGGATACTGCTTTGTGCAAATCAACGTGTTAGTCTTCCTGATTCTAGTCTTTTTCAGTCTTTTCTTCACAAGAGACTTAGCTACTTGGATGAAACTGCCATGGGCATGTGAAAGGATTGAATAATGTATGATAAACATCTCTTTTTCTAGTTGAAAAAAAAACTATGATTTGACTCATTCTACATGCAATTTTTCGACCCAGCCTTTTCTTTCAATGATCATTCATGCAGACTCATGTACGGCCATTCCATCTTGCTTTCGTCAGATTTGTTTCCTTCACAATCGGAAGAGGAACATAGTGCGGTGACGATAACTACAACTTTGTATCCAAATGAGGAGTTGACTTGAGTATATCTATGAAGTCAAATTCTTACAGGCTTTTATTAAAGATAATGAACGGAGATGAGACTGGCGCAGACTGTGCATGACCTAACAATATATGCACACAACAAATTCACTGAATTGGTATAGGGCTGTAGCTTCATAGAGGTTTTTTGTTAATTGGTGTGACATTTCATTCAGTGTCTAAATTGTCACTTCCGCATTTTCTGTCCGAGAGGGGAGAATTATTTTGATGGTTTCTGGTCCAAGACGTAGTCTGTGTACCTCGGATCACGCAGATCATCAACCTAATTGAAACCAAAATGTGGTTCAGCACTGATCCAAAACAATAGTTCCCAAGATGGTCGGATATGCATCTTTTTGGGAACAGATTTTGCTGTTCCAGTCTCCTCTGTTGATCCACCTAAATGACCTTTATCAGTATCTGCTAGGGAAGTCTTATTTACTTTGTCATGCCAGTAGTGCTCTTTTGAACGAGACGAATGGAACCATATACTGGAGTTTAGCCAGAGTTACGAACTGACGATGATCATCCTATCTAGGGAGATCGGTGAACACTTACTTCAAACCGCCTATGTCAAGGTGCATGCACTAGCCCGTGTTGCTGGATAAATGGCCACCGACTCTGTTGAACGATTAGGCATTCCGTCCGAGAGGCTGACAATCCGAAAAAAGTGGCCACTTCACAAGCACTGATGATGTCACCTCGGCTGGTGATGAAACGTTTGCAAACAAACTGTCATGCCCTGCGAGCAGGCGAAATAGACGAATAAAAATGCTTCTTCACCCGCCGGTTGTAGGTTGCATATTCAATGAAAAGGAAGTACAAAAATGCAAAAATACTATTCACCAAAGAATTCTATTTGAATAGATGTACAACACAATTCCCTACAATCTGGTTTTGTCAAGGCCGAACATGTGTATCGTTGTGAGACGTGAATGATTAGGGATTTTACTTTTAATCTGTGAATTCCCGGGTTCACTTTTCTTTGGGATTCACTTTGCTGCTAAGGTTAAGAGAATTTCAGGGATTTTCAATTTGACTTTCTTGAGATTTGCATGCAGAAATCAAATAGACATATATGCTCCCCCGTCAGAAGCAGGACCTAGTTTCTGATTTTTATGTCTGTCCGAGTATTATTTTTCATGCATCCTTCTGATTTTCACTTCAGGTTGGACAATCCGGTGCGGGGAAATCCACCGTCGTTCGGCTTTTGTTCCGGTTTTATGATGTGACTGATGGAGAGATTCTGATTGACGGTCAAAATATTGCCCACGTAACACAGTCTTCTCTGCGTCGCGCGATCGGCGTTGTACCGCAGGTTAGTAGTTGACCACTATCACCATGAATCGGAAAGGTTTTTTGGCTTTGATATCACCGGTTTCCGCGAGTCTAGGCATTATGCTACCTTGGCTGTTTTTGTGGTAATAACGGAAAGACTTAACCCTGCCCGATGACAAAACTTCGTAAGCCA